CTTACATTAGAATGGAAAGTCAAAACAGAGAGGAAGATACAATTATTATGTAAGATGACCTGAGGGAGAACAGGGAGGTGTCAGAAGTATCCCCACCTTCTCGGCCCTTTTCTCAACCAAAGGAAAGCCAGTGTATATCTGAGAACAAAAAGCAGAGCTGATATGGTTCTCAGACTCAGGGGAGTTTGCTCACCCAATTGTGAAACTGACAAAGTCAGGCCAAGTAGGGATAAGGAGGTTAAAATAAAAAATGAGCCTGGCACTTCTCCCTGTCATGTGCCACTAGACCCTCTCCTCTGAAAGCACATCAATCCATGTGAAAACATTGATCCCTTTCTCTTACCTTCTGCCTTGCCCCTCCCTCCCATCCCCACTCTCACTCTTGTCTGGGGAGCACCTGGCACTGCCCATCCTACCCAACATTTTGCTGGCTCATTGTGGATGAGAGCTTGGGGGAAAGGCTGAGAGTGGGGGAGGGAAGGCTGAGTAAGGCTGCTGTAAAATAGTCATCTCTGTCATGCTCTCACTCTTCCTGTTTCTATTGATCATTCCCTCTCTGGAACTAAGCCCCAGGCTGCTCCTTTTCCCAAATGCTACTCTCCTGCCAGGATCTGCCTGTGGCTACCGTCCAACAAGTTAAAAGGGTAGAGTCATGAGTGGCAGAAACAGAAAACCTCAAAGCTGCCCTCCCCCAGACTCCTCAAGCATATCTGTCTAAGGAAATTTCTCCTGTGGTCACAGCCTTCCAGGATGGGAGAGTCCACAGCTTGGGCACACAGAAACACTTTACCACTTAACTCTCTTTATCACTTCACCTGACACTTATGTAATATAGCCTTATATTTTTACCCAATTTTTTGAATGTAGCTAAGTCAGTGTAGAGTAGTCAAAATGCCTTGGATTTCAGAGTCAGGACAATGGACTTTCAAATCCTGTCTCTGACACCTTACTTCATTCACTCTGTAACTATGAGCCAACATATACCAAATTTTTCTGATCTTGTTTACTCATGTGTAAAATGAGGGGAAAAAAAACCATTTCTATGTGGAAGGACATGAACAAGCCATAGGGTGACCGAGGGGATTCCTGTCCATGCCATGAGATAAGCTAAAGAAAGTAGAGATGTTTAGCCTGGAGAAGACATAATAGCTGTCTTCTAGTAACTTAAGAGCTATTTTTTTCTATTCTTTTCTATTTTTTGTTATAAGAGATGGCTCTTTGGGTAGAAAGGAGGGACAGGCTTGGAAATGAAGGTCATGTAAAAAGTACAAAATATAGCAATAAAAAATTAAAATAGAATTTATAAAAATATCTTTCAATATTTCACAATTCATACTCAGTTTTCTCCCCCTCATATCTAACCTCAATCTATCTATTGCAGCCACACCGTTTCTCCTTTTGTTCTGTATGTATAACAGAGTCAATTTTCAATCATCTGTGCTAGGGGAGAGGAGAGAGTAGCAAGTGTCATCTAAAAGAGCTAACGATGAAATAGTGAACAATGCAAAAAAAAAATTTCTCTTTAGTTTGGAGACACACAATCTTTTTGGCAGTAGTTACTTATATTTTGCTTCTGCTAAGACTGAAATGAGTTTGCATTCCCTGAGCACCAATCTATCCGGTAGGAGGGGAGGACGGGAAGTACAGATTTTTAGTTCCTACATATAGTTTATCAAATTAACAGACTACCTCTAGATAAGCAAGAGGTTGATTAATTAACTATTTACATTATCAAGGACAAGGAAATGAACCAGGGCATTGAGTGAGACAGTAAGAGGAAGTAGAGGAAGAAAGGGAAAAGTACCTGACATTATGAAGGAGTTTGTAGAACATGGAGGGACAGTGCAAAGCCAGGAATCAATCTGGGAATATGCCAGCAACTTGGAAGGGAAGGAAAGGGAAGGGAGAGAATTTCAATGAGACCAGGGCGCCTCTAATCCCCAAAATGTCCCAGAAAGAGGGAGCTATCATGGATAGTCTAATGACCTCAACTGTCTCAGGAGCCTCAGAACCTTCAGAGGTTTGCAGGAAGTCAGTCCCTTAATAAACATTTATTAAGTACCTACTATGTTCCAGACACTGTGCTAACGACTGGGAATACGAAAGGGGGGGGGGGTGGAACAAAAAATAGTCCCTGCTCTCAGAGTTCATAGTCTAACAGAGGAAATAACATGCAAATAACAATGTACAAACAAGCTATATACTGGATAAATTGGAAGTAATCAACAGAGTTGAGGCACTAGAATTAAGGATTGAGAAAGGCTTCCTGTAGAAAGTAAGATTTTGGTTGGGACATAAAGTCAGGGAAGTCAGGAGATAGAAATGAGGAGGTAGAGCATTCCAGGCATGGGAGACTGCCACTGACAGTGCCCAGAGTGGGGAGATGGAATGTCTTGTTCAAGGAACAGCAATGAGGCCTGTGTCACTGAATCACATGTGGGATGTAGAGGATGAGAAAGACTGGGGGATGGGAAGTCAGGTTTTCTCAACACTTTCCAAAAAAAACCTCCAAAATAAGTTCATAATGGTCATAAACACTTCCTCCTGGCTCTACTGCCTCCAACACACCCATCATTCTCTCCTCCTCTCCCAAAATACCCCAAATATCTCCATTTCTCCTCTACTCCCTTTTTCTCCTCCATCCTTCCACATTTTCCCCAATGACCCCATCATCTCCCCTTCTCTCCCTCAATACCACCACTTCTGCTCTCCCAAAAAAACCCTAATATCCTCCTTTTTCTTCTACTTTTATCTCCCTCATATCTGCACCCTTCCCTAATTATATCCATCATCTAGAACCCTTCCCCTTCTCTCATGCTCCAATGCTACTTGGTCTTCCTCTTCCAATCTTTCCACTTCCCAACTCCCCCTTCTTCCCAGACACCCATAACCCCCTTTCCCACCCGTCTTCCAATTCTCATACTCCCTCATCCTCCATCCCAATGCTCCCTCCCACAGTGTTCCTGCCATCTCTCTTACCTGTCCTCTACCCAATGTCTCCTAAATCTTCCTTCTCTCTTTTCCTATAATATCTCCACCATCCTTCTTCCCTTCCCCTTCTCCAAAATCTCCACCATCCTCCATTACCCTCTCCCCTCCATCTCACAGAATCACAGAATTCAGAGTTGGAAGAGATTTCATCAGTCATCTAGACCCAAAAATAATTTCTACTATAAGATTTTTAATGAATCCAGCCTCTGCTGGAAGACCTCCAAGAAGGAAAAACCCACCCCCTCCAGAGGCAGTCCATTCCACTTTTGGACAGCTCTAATTGTTGAGTTTTTCCTGACATCAAGCCTAAATCTGCCACTTTGGAACTTCCACCCACTGTTTCTGGCCCCTTTCACTGGAGCCAAATAGAAAAGATCTGATTCCTCTTCCTCATAAAAGACCTTCAAAATCCTTGAAAATCCTTCTGTTTCTCTTATTCCCCATGAGTCCTGTTATCTAGAATAAGAATCCCCATTTCCTTCACCTTCTCATATAACATGAAATTAAGGCCTTTCATCCTTTATGACGAAATCCTAGTTCCTCTCCTCTGGACTGTCTCCAGCTTAACAATATCCTTCTTAAACTGTGGCACCTAGAACTGAGCTCAATATTTTAGCCCTGAGGAGGGCAGAGTGCAGCCTTATTCCTGTAAGCTGTACTTCTCCTAATGCAACCCACGAGCATGTTAGCTTTTTGGCTTCTCACATCATACTGCTGACTCATAATGAGCCTGCAGTCCACTAAGACCCTCATATTTTTTCATACAAACTGCTTCCTAGCCACGTCTCCCACCATCCTATATTTGTGGAGTTAGCTTTCCATTTGTCCCTATTGAATATTTTTTATTACATTCAGCCAAATGACCTGTCAAGACTTTTTGGGATCCTGACTGTCACCCAACATATTAGTTCTCCCTCCAGATATCATCTACAAATTTGATGAGCTTGCCATCTGTGCTTTTATTCATGCCATGGATAATTAATCAATCAATAAATACTTATTAAATACCTGCTGTGTGTTAAGCTAGGGATACCAGGAAATAGTCCCTGTGCTCACAGAACTTAATTCTATCCAGGAGACATATATATACATATATATATACATATATATACATATATACACACATATATATAACATATATATACATATATATAACATATATATAATAATTACCACTGTCACTATCATTATTATTATTATACATCACTTACCATATGCCTGCCACTGTGCTCAGTGCTTTACAATTATTATCTCATTCGATCCTTACAACAAGCCTACAACGTAGGTGCTATTATTATCACCACTTTACAGATGAGGAAACTGAGGTGAGATTAAGTGACTTTTCCATAGCTAATGTCTGAGTTCAGATTCAAACTCAGGTCTTTCTCACTCCAGGCCCAGTGCTCTATCCATTGTGTCACCTAGCTGCCCAAAATATTATATATATATACATTATATATATATGTATGTGTGTGTATGTATATGTTTATTCATATATATGTGTATATATATATATATATACACACACACACCCAAAATATATATATACAAGTGAATTTTTCAGGAGAAACACTAGCAGTTTGGGGATCAGGAAGGCACTCCATATTGGCTGGCTTTTGAGCTGAGCTTTGAAGGAAATCTCCTTTCTATATACAAACAAGCTACATACAGGACAAAGTGGAGACAACCTCAGAGGGAAGGCACCTACATTAAGAGGGACCACAAAGGCTTTTTGCAGCAGGTGGGACATTGGCTGAGATTTGATGAGAAAAGATAAAGGATGCTTAAAATCACCGGGCCAAACGGAGGTCCCTGGGCAGTCCACTGGAGACGTGCCAGCCAAGCAGAAGGTGAACCATTAAGGGTTACTCTTGGAAGTCCCTCCCCACCCCCCCCACCCCCGCCATCCCTCAAATCCCCCAAGCCCCGCCTTCCTTTTCTCCATCCCAATGACCCAACCCCGCCCCTCCACAAGGGGACGGGGCGGGGACTCCGAGTGACGTTAGGCCACGTGACGCGGGTGCCGCAGAGGCCGAGGTCGTCGCTGCAGAAGCCGGAGAGACCCCGGCGAGCCCCGACCCCGGCCTGGCCATGCTGTCCCGCCTGCTGAAGGAGCACCAAGCGAAGCAGAACGAGCGCAAGGAGCTGCAGGGTGAGCCCGGGGCCCGCCCCGCGCGCGTTCCCGTCACCGAGGCCCTGGGGGAGCTGGACGCGCAGGGCTCGCAGACCCGGTTCTGGTCCCCATGGCGACGTCCTCCCCTACCCCCGCCTCCCGGCCTGGCTCCGCCCCCACGCCTGGTTCCGCCCCCCCTTGGAGGAGAGCGCCTCCCATTGGTCCTGGGCGATGGCGCCCCTGGAGTGGGAGGGGCTTGGGCGAGGGGCGCGGGAACTGCGGGGGAGGAAATCACTCTTAGAGATCGACCCCAGAATTCCCCGATCCCTGGGAAACCGAAGGAGCTCGGTTGTCATTGTATCCCCGGCTCCTGGCACTATGCCTGGTGCTAAGTAAATGAAGCATGGTAGACAGAGCGAACGACTTGGAGTCAGAAAGATCTGGGTTCAAGTCCTCCCCTTGACATGTAACTGATTGTGTGTCCCTGGGCAGGTCACTCTCAGTGCTCTAGTTGATCAATCTAGGCCACTGCCCGGGGGAGGGGGGTGGGGGCGGTTGGCAGCTAGGTGGCTCAGTGGATAGAACATAGGCCCTAGAGTCAGGAAGACTTGAGTTCAAATTTAGCCTCAGACTCTTACTAGCCATGTGACCCTGAGCAAGTCGCTTAACCTCTTTCTGCTCAGTTTGCTCAACTGTAAAATGAGGATAGTAATAGCGCCTATTTCCTAGAGTTGTGACGATCAAATAAGACAATAATTGTAAAGCACCGAGCTCAGTGCCTGCCATATACTAAGTTTGACATAAATGTCAACTTTTATCAGCAGTATTGAGACTGAAAGTTTCACATCCTCATTAGTAAAAGCAGTTCCTCACCCAGGACTTGGTATGCCAATGAAATCATGTCCGGTCCCAATCTCACTGGGTGGTTTTCAGAATCAAATGCAATAACATTTGATAGAAATTGATTTTTCAATGTAATATTAATTGATTTTTAAAATAGAAATTGATTTTTCAAATGAGATAACATATAAATTGATTTTTCAAATCTTAACGCACCATATAAACGATAGCTATTATCATCAAGATGATCATCATCCTTATTACTTTAATTGAACACAGTGGGAGGGAATGGGAAGGGGGAAACCCTAAGCTCCACTCTGGACAAAAAGCCCTCTCATTAAATTCTTCCTCTGTGGGAAGAGCCTTGGGTTTGGAATATTGGGAACCAGGTTTGAATCCCACAGACCTCCACACTTCTAGCTGGGTGTCCTTGGACGAGTCACATAACTTCTCCATGCCTCGGTTCCCTCATTAAAAAAAAATTAAGAGAATTGGATGTCTAAGGCATCTTCCCGTTCTAAATCTCTGATTTTCCTATTCCCAGAGAAGAGGAGGAGAGAAGCCATCGCTGCTGCTACCTGCCTGACAGAAGCCTTGGTGGACCACCTCAATGTTGGGTATGCTCCTTACCTGGGCCCCTCAGACTGGGCATGGCATGTTTAGCCACCCCTCCTATTCCCCCTCTTCATCCCAAGCTAAGACTTCATTATGAAGTCTGAGGTGGGGGTCTGCTGGGGAAACCAGATTGTCCACATCTCTGTGGCCTAGCATCATTGATGCCACCTGCCCACCTTCTGTTTCCCCCTTACCATGTCCAGCTGTCTTTTCAGTGAGAAGGCAACATTTCTCCTCTTAACCACAACTCCCCCCGCCCCAACCTTCTGGCAGGCCCAGAGGGCAGCTAGCAGGACAGGCACAGCTGAGCATATAGCAAGCCTGTGCCAGGAGTGGCACACTGCCAGGCTTCTTCTTTCCTTTCTCTCTCTCTGGGTCCTTAACTCTCCATGTTCCTCCAAGATTGGAACCAGGGGATGGAGACGGGGCAAAGGATTGGATGCAGGACCTGAGCTACTATAGAGGAGGGCATGGCTTTCTGCCCTTTTTGACCAAAGCAGAAAGCTGGTACTTTCTCCCTGGGCAGAGGAGAGAATAGTGTGATCTCTTCTACCCTGTGGGAACAGCCTGGATGTGGTTGTGAGGCCTGAGTCACCTAAGTGTCAGCCATTTGTGCTCTGGGGTCAGACTCAGCTCAAATTAGCTCATTTCCCTTAAGTGGAAAGAGCTATTGATTGGGGGATGGGAAGGCCCCTGGAGGGAAAGACAAGCGAGTGGTCCTTAGCTTGGGGGGTTGGAACAGATTGGGAATGGTGGGTATCAGAAATTTCCCACCAGCTCAAATCCCAGACCTGGAGGCTCTACTTTGGAAGGAAGTGAAGGGGAGCACTCCCTTCTTGCTTCTTGACCCTGTCTTTCTGCCGCTCTGGCCTCCCCCACCCCAGCTGTGGCTCAGCTGTCTCTCAAAGAACAGGAGCTGTCTGCCCCAATTTTTTTTCCCTCCTACATTGGCGCCTTCTGGGCTGACAGTGCCCACAGCCTGTGAGACTCAACTAGCTTCTCCCCCTCTGCCATGCCCCCCTCTCCTCACCGTGGGTGGGGAGGGGGCAAGGAGGGGGGCAGCTGCCCCACTTCCCAATGCACAGGGCAGTTTAGCTAGAGCTGGATTTGAAAGGGTTTTGTGTGGCTGCCCACAGCCCCTCTCACTCCCCGGAAGAGAGAACAAAGACCCAGTCTGTCCCAGCCCTGGTCAGGTGTCCTGCCCGCTCTCCCAACCCTTCCCCCTTCAACTTCTCTGATCCCCTGACTCCTTCAGCCCCCGCAGATTCCACCCATGGAGGCCCAGAAGGGTGCCGGCAATGGGGAAGTGGGAACTCGATGTGAGGTCTCCAGCGCTTACTGTGGGACAGGGAGAAGAAATACAAGTATCCCAACTCATGGGAGGGGGCTGGGGGCAGAGATGTGTCCTATCCTGTATCATTTCCCTGACCCTTTACACACAGCCACCTTGTTTGGGAAGGGTGCTTCACAGGGGTGAAGAGAAAAGCTGCCCTGCTCTTAGGCCTCTGTGTATGTCCACACAGGATGGGGAAAGGAGAAGGAGGAAATGACAGTCCCTCGGGGGCTCCTCCTCTCTTGACCCAGCATTCCTGGGGTGGGGGACGCTCCCCCATCCCACCCCCAATTCAGGGAGGGGTCCAGCTTTCCCTCCCCATCAGGCCCAACTCAGCTTCTTTCTCTGATCCCCAGGGCTCCCAATCACTGCCAGATGTTTTCCTACTGCTAAATTTTCCCAGCATCCCCCCACCCCACTCCCTCTTCCTACCCTTGATTAACCCACCCTTCCCCCATATCCTACTTCCCAGTTGCACAAAAGCCCACCGAGATAGGGAGGAAGCGGATGAGGTATGCTGGTTGAAAGCCAGCATGGAATTGAATGTATTAGAGAGAAAAGAGGTTTTTTTTTTCTTTTATATATGTTTGTATTTTATTTGCATAGTATGAATTGACCATTCAGAAGTGTGAAGAGTTCTCTGTCTAGTTCTCTCTTCTGCCTTTCTTCCCTGCGTTAGGAAGCTAGGTTGGGCTGGGCTGGGCCGGGCTGGGCCAGAGAGTCCCCCCAGAATAGGCAGAGCTGACACCCTTTCTGACCCCTTCGCCTCCCATGCCGTCCCCCTCCAGCGTGGCCCAGGCCTATGTCAATCAGAGGAAGCTAGACCATGAGGTGAAGACTCTCCAGGTCCAGGCCACACAGTTTGCCAAGCAGACAGGCCAGTGGATTGGGATGGTGGAAAACTTCAACCAGGCACTCAAGGTAGGTCCCGTCAGGCTTCTTCCTCTCTGTGCCAGCGCCTCGTGTGGTCCCTTCCGTTCCATTGCTCTCTGGTCCTCAGCGGGACTTTCAGGCCCCAGCAATAGGGACAGGGAACTAGAAGAAGCCAAACCAGAGTCCTCCCTCCTACTCTCCAACTTCCTTCCCTCAGGGTTGGCTAAGCAGCAATACCTTACATCTGTATGTGGCTATCAACTAGTGCTCTCACATCACCCTGTGGGACGGGCAGGGTGGATGTTGGCCCATTTTATGAATGGTGAAACTGGCTCAGCCAGTTAGCTAATCATATTATAATTAGCTGGTAGTTAACTAAGTCTCCTGATTCCTCGCTCAGTTCTTTAAAGTGAATCCAAAGCTTACTTAGTTTAGAGCCCAGGTTTTTAACTTGGGGTCTCTGAACTTGTTTATTTTTAAATAAGTATCTTTTGGTAACTATATTTTAATATACTTATGTGTAAAATGAGCTGGAGAAGGAAATGGCAAACCATTCCAGTGTCTTTGACAAGAAAAACTCAAATGGGGGTGTCAGACTTGACTGAAAACACTAAGCAACAACAAAATTCTAATATAATTGGTGTCCTTTGTGATCCTATGCGTTTTACTTTTGTGTATTTAAAAACACTTTTCTGAGAAGGGTCCCTGAGAAGAGCTTCCAAAGGGCACAAAAAGGCTTAGGAACCCCTGGTTTCAAGGTTACAAAGGGCCATTCGTTGTGGAGAGGGGGGAGAAGAGCAATTGGTCTAGTCGGAAGTAGGTGGGCAAAGGGGCCTCTTCTTGGGCGGTGGACGATGGGAAGATTCTGAGGCTTTGTGGTAGTCCCTAACTCTTCCCTCCCTTTTTTCTGTGTCCTCGTCAGGAAATTGGAGATGTGGAGAACTGGGCTAGGAGCATCGAACTGGACATGAGGACAATCGCCACAGCTCTGGAATATGTCTACAAGGGGCAGCTGCAGTCGGCCCCCTCCTAGCTTCGTCCTTTTTCCTCCACAGCTCCTCAGCTGTCTGCTCAGTCACTGAGCTCTCTGGCATTTCTTCTGTCTCACTTATTCTCAGCTAACCAGGGGAAGAGGAGGTCAGCAAGACCCTCAATAAAGCATGAGTGTCTGGCCACGTGTAGCGTGTGTTTGGACGGGCAGCCGGTTGCAAGGAAAAAGTGGTTTAGGGGGCTTTGGGAGTAAAACCAGCTTGCCCCCAGTGCCTGGCCAAGCACATAAAGGAAGGAAGGATGTTACGCTGACCCCATCTATGAGTACCAGTTGGCCACCCAACCTGATTGAGGGTAGACCCTAGCCCCTAAACACAGGAGAAAGTGAGACATGAAGCATCTCAGGACCCCCGGATTCTGCTTGTCTTCCATCCCATTCATACAAGTGTTCCTTGCTGAGGCTGGTGCACAGCAGTCATGAGCCTGAGGTGGGCCAGGGCATAAGGCGGATGAGGCACCAAACTAAGTAGCAGGATAAAGAGGGAACATGGGGAGGGGGTCTAGGGTAGCGTTCATAGGGGAGAAGAGTGTCTGACAGGTCCACCCCGAGGCCCACTCACCACTCCCTGATGGTAGGGAGAGAACATTGGGGTGGGAGGTATGTAGAGAAAACAGATCCCAGGAGAGAGTCCAAGCAACCCTAGCCGCTGCCAAGGATTAGGTTCAGCCCATCGGGTTGGGTTTACCCAGTCCTTAATGCCCCAGCTGCCTGGAGCGTCCACCCCTTCTGGACTTTGTACTCCAATGCCAATAAGAGCCAGGCAGGGCAAGGGGTAGAGGGTCAGAATTCCTGAGAAACAACAGGAGAAAGAGCTGGGACGCTGCACCGCGAAAGCTGGTCCCTGAGGTAAGCCATGGGCAGATGAGGGGCCTCCAGTTGGGGATCACAGAGCAGGGTTTTTGGGACAAGTAGGTACAAATAGTAGCAATTCTTTGTTACTGTGCAACTTTTAGCTTCTCAAAGTGCTTCGGTGTACATCAGCTCATTTGCTCTTCAGCCACCATGAAAGGCCAGCAGGATGGACAAAAGATGGGGAAACTGAGGCTGGGGGGGGGTGCTGCCAAAAGTCACATGGTAACAGCTTCAACTAGAACCTAGGTCTCCTGACCCCTAAAGTAAGGCCCAGCTAAATTTCAATATAAGGCCTAGGTTAAATTTAAAGACTATGGAAGGGCTGGATAGGGAGGGGAGGAGAGCACATCCCTGCCACACAAAACGGTGCTAAGTGAGAGATTTCTACCCCCCATCCCTCTCATGTAGATCCACAATAAATGGCAGGGCTCTGAGGGCTTCTACTGTAAACTCTCTCTGCATAGATCTGTCTTTCTCCTTGCTTACGCCACCCCTGGATTCACCTGAGATACAGCCTGGGTCTGCCCAGACTATGGGTATCAAGCCGGAGAGGGTGGCAGAATCCAGAGAAAGAAAAGCAGATTTCAAAATGTGAAGTGTAGAAACTCCAGTAGGACAGCCTAGACCATCTTTTGCGATTGAATCCTTAATTCAGAGGTATTGGGGCTCTCTCTCCTACCATGTGGCTGCTCCTATTTCTTGGGACCCTGCTTTGGGGAGTACTGTGGTTCCTGCGAGACCGGCAAGTGCTACCCCCCAGAGATGCCTTCATATTCATCACCGGCTGTGACTCAGGCTTTGGCCGGCACCTGGCACTGCGGCTGGACAGACGAGGCTTCCGAGTTTTGGCTGGTTGCCTGACATCCACAGGGGCAGAAAACTTGAAGCGGGCTGCTTCTCCTCGACTCTGCACCACACTCCTGGATGTCACCGACCCCCAAAACATCCAGCAAGTGGCTGAGTGGGTGGGGACGATCGTGGGAGAGAGAGGTGAGTGGGGAGAGAGGGAAGCAGCCTTAAAGCTGCCAGTAGCACGTCACCAACATTACACCTGGAAGCAAACTTGGCAGGGACTCTGAAGGGAGAAAAGGACTTCTCAGCCCCACGCGCTACCTAGATGTGTGTATGACTACCTCTGTACTTCAAATTTGAGCCCACGCTCTCCAGGAACCTCGTATATGCGAGGGAAGAGTGAATCCCCACTTGGAAGATGTTTCTATAAATTCTGTCCTTTATACCTCCTCAATAAATATCCCTTTGTAAACTCTAAAAAATATATATATATATCTCAGTGGCACAGGAAGGTGGATGTTCCCACTCCTTGCAATCCTCTCCCCATTCCTCCAGCCCTGGGCATCTGATCAAATCCTCACTAGGAGTAACAGAATAACTCACATCCCACATTTTCTGTGAAATCTTCCCTGATTCTCCCATGTCAGTAACAACTACTGGTCCATTTCATGAGCATTTTTTTGACCTGTCCTATTTACTTATACATCTCTTATATATCTTATATATAATCATGCACACATGTATTATTGTATGTTTTAATACCCCTAACTAGACTCCCTTAAAAGCAGGGACCATATCTTATTTAAACTTTGTAGTTCCCCCAATAGGTAACCTAATGCTTGTCCCACAGGCATTTAATATTTATCTAATTGGATCAGGGTGCTTCCGGCTTTCAGGGGGGTCAGTGAGTCCTGTTTTTTTCCCCTACCCAACCGCCGATTCCAACAGGGCTCTTTGGCCTGGTGAATAACGCAGGCATCACTGGGATCATCGGCCCTACCCCGTGGCTGAATCTGGAGGATTATCGGAGAGTGCTGGAAGTGAACACGCTGGGTCCCATCGGAGTGACCCTTGCCCTGCTGCCCTTGCTACAACAGTCACAGGGTCGAATCATCAACATCACCTCCGTCCTGGGCCGTCTGGCTGCCAATGGTGGGGGCTACTGTGTCTCCAAATATGGTCTGGAGGCCTTTTCTGACAGCCTACGGTGAGGGGGCAGAGGGGACCAACATAACACCCTGAGATGCAGGCATCACGAGGGTCACATCCAGGACACTTGAATGTTTTGCCCCAACTGTGATTCCTTTATTCCAAGTCTCCCCTCACCCCTCCATTCAGTCTGCATCGCTCACTTGCCTAGGTCTTTGTAGTCATCTCTGTGCCCATCTCTTACATTCAGGTCCTTTCTCTTCCATCAGACTAAGAGTACCCAGACAGGAAGAACCATGTATCTCTTTCCTACTCATTCCAGTGCCAGAACAGGGTGCAGTCTAGGATGAAGGGAAATGAACCCCAAAGGTCTCTAACCCTATCTCCAATGGTGTAGGATGCACCATTCACAGAATTCAAGTTGCCTGGGCCCACCATGGCTTCCTACCCTAGTTTTTAGATGGGGGAGATCCCTCCAGTTCTATCTCCCATCCTATCCATCACTTGTAGCTTTTAGGGGACTACCCTCATGTGGCAAGAACCCAGGGGGAAAAATCTCTTCTATTTTCTGATATTCCACATTCCAGACGGGACATAGCTCCCTTCGGGGTACGGGTCTCTATCGTGGAACCAGGCTTCTTCCACACAGCAGTGACCAACTTGGAGTGTATAGAAGGGATGCTTTGGGCCTCCTGGAAACGGTTATCTCCTGCCACTCAGGCCAGCTATGGGGACAGCTTCCTTCCTAAGTGTGAGTAGCTAGAGCTGAGGATGCCAAGAACCCATTCTGAACAAGAGAGATGAAGAGGATGGGGCACAGCACCTCCTTCAGTCTGTCCAGGGGGTATGGTGTCCCCTATCCAAATAAACTGGAGGGATGAGGGAGGTAGTATATTGGCTACTTACAATAGGGGAAGGAGGAAGGAGCTGGTAAGAGCATGGCTCCTGTTCCAGCCTGCCTCATGATGGACAGGAAAGGCAAAGGAGAGGCCCTTGAAGAAACAGGGCCCTCAGGGTCTGGTAGGAATAATAATGCTAATGTGCTGGTGCCCACCCAAACCTGGAGCATGTGGCCGTCCTACTGCACAAATAACCCTGGGAGCTCTGAATGTCCTGGAGCAAACCAGACTGGTGAAGAAAATGAATACTGGGCAGGGGAGGTTGGGTGAAGGAAGATCTGACTTCTGCTTCTCTTCCCAGACCTGAAGGTACAACGGTTCATCATGAACCTGATCTGTGATGGGGACTTGGGCAAGGTGAGCAGCTGCCTGGAGCATGCACTGACTGCCCGCTACCCCCGCACAAGATACAGTGCTGGATGGGATGCCAAACTTCTCTGGTTGCCTGCCTCCTACCTACCTGCCAGCCTGGTAGATGCTATACTTACTTGCGTTCTTCCCAAACCTGCCCAGACTGTCTGCTGAACCCATTAGCCTGCAGGAAACTGAGGCACAGAATGGAAAGCAAACACTATAAACTATAATCACCACCCAAACTGAGCTGCCCCATCCCGACCTTTATTCTTTTTCTGAGGATCAAGATGTTTTTAAAAATAATCCCTCCAGTTTTGCAAATTTCCTTTTGAAAAAAGGCTGCCACAAAACAAGTGGCCACCAGAGGGAGTGCCAGATACACTCTCCCCAGGTTGGAAGCCTTTATTCTGGGCTCAGTAAGGGTGCACTTCACTAGATCATCACTAGATGTCACTCTTCATTCCCAGTCAGGTCTTAGCCCTTCTTCACTGGTACCCATCCCCTAGTTGAAGCTGGACACCCGTCAAGACTGGCATGGTAGGGGGAGGAGCTCCGTAGCATCAATGATGCTCCCTGCACAGGAAGCTCCCCCTAAGGGGCACGTCCAGAATTTTTGCAGATCAGGTCATCAGTATCTCAGCACAGGGCACAGCCTAACCATGATGCCACAGGCTCAGAGGGGAGAAGCTGGGCATCACTGATACCAGGCCCTAGGCTCCCATGGTGTCATTTCCCTCTTCCATTCTCAGCTGCCACCACTCCCAAAATTAAATTCCTGGCTTCCTCCATATCCACTCTCCCATAGCTACCAAGAGAGCAAAAGGTCTGGAGGGCTGTGGGGACATGAGTGCAGGAAAATGAAACACAGGACTGTGAGGGGAGACAAACACCAGGCATGGACACACCAGAAAAAGGCCATGGGAACAGACTTGGAGATGAAAGAAAAGGCATCATGTTCCAGGGGAAAAACCACTGGATTTGGAAATAAAGGACCCAGGTTCAAATTTGGCAATTTTGCAATTACATGATGACAGACAAGCCACTTCCCCATTCTGGGCCTCAGATTAAATTACCTCTAAATTTTCCCCCAATACTAAATAATTTTATGAGTCTAAGGGTGCATGGGAGAGGGGGCAAAGAAGCAAGGCCAGGTATTGAGAGGAAAAAAAGGCCAGGAGCCATGGATCTGAAGGACAAATTGACACTTTGTTTCTTTTCAGAGTGAAAAAAAAAATCCATTTATTAACTGAAAAACCCAGGACATACTAGCCCACTCCCTTATTGCCATGAGACGGTGGTGAGGGGCAGAGAGCGCCCCTACATCACCTCATAGCCACTCCTGATACTCTTCATGAGGCAGCAGGCAAAGATAACTCCCAGAATCTGGAAGGAAAGAAGTATGTGTGTGTAAGTGGGTGGGGCAGGCATAATCAGGAATATGGACATGGGAAGAAAAGTACACATTAGGGGAATGAGTCCAAGCCCAGGCTGATTGGCACTAGGGATGGTAGTATACTTAGTACACAGTGGGCTCTGCACCACCCCACCCCCTCCCACCCCAGGGACCCCCTCACCTCCACGAATGTGACGCCCAGTGCTACACCCGCCAGCACCAAAGCTCTGTGCTTTAGCCAATTTCCAATCTTCTCCACACAGCCCTGGGAAGATGCAAGGGACTTTCACAAACTCACCTTGCTCATTTATACCCTGTCCCCAAGCCTGGCTTCCCTAAGCCCCACCAGTCCCAAGTCTGTCCTAATTCTCATTCTCCCATCCCTGCTGGCTCTCTTCAACCCTATACCAGACCCAACCTTTAGTTTCTTCAGATCACCAGTTCCCTGGGCTTCCCTAACCTCTAGACCCTCCTTGAGGAAAAGATCCTACCCCCATTCCTAGGTTCCCTCAGGCTCTTAACTTTCCAGAGATCTCTAACTCCTCCAGTCCCCCTAATCTCCAATCCTTTTCTCTCTCTCTCCAATCTTTTAGCTATGCCTAGCCCCTAATCACCACCCACCCCACATACTTCCTGGTTAATGTCCGAAGGTTTGAAGTTAGTTCCACAGCTTTGGGTGACATTGATGCAGCAAGAGTCAGGGACCCTGTTCTTGGGTATTTGGGGCACTTGCTCCCAGTCTGTATAGTTCATTGCCCCACAGCATTTAAACTAGAATGAGAGAAAAGTTGGTGAGGAGATTGGCAAAATAAGGGGGGAGGAAGATAAATAAATAAATAAATAAGGGGGAAGGTCCTCTAGGCCTAAGGCTCATGGGCCAAGCTAAAGTACTCCCAATGCAAAATGTGACTCTACAAGGCAACCAGGTGTTGGGGGATTGGAATCGAGGTGAAGAAAAAGAAGCCATAAAGCTTTTTCCAAAAGGCTGGAAAAAATTGGATTGGTAGATGTTGTGCTCAAAAGCTTCCTGGGTCATCCTATCCCCCACAACTATTCCTCTAGAGTGGCCTATCTCTAGGGAATTACCACTACCCCGAAAATTTACATTAAAAAAAATTTACTGATGCTTTTTGTTTTTCTATCACAGTCATTTCTGGATATAGTCCTCTCTCCCATCCCCCCTCTTCTCCCCTTCCCCCCCAACTCACTCCTTCCTGCAACTTATCCAAGAACTGTGCTGTGTTGTTATTTTTCTCATACGCCTTCATCTCATCCCGGAAGCCTTTGTCAAACTCTGACTTCACCTGCAAGACGGGGGAAGAGAAGTATTAAGGCACGCCCCCTTGCCAACCTCCATAATGATCATGGTGAGCTCTCAGGGAACCATAGTCACATCCTACCCTCCTAGGCCAAACTCTTATCCCCTTCATCACAGTCTACTTACCTTGTCCCTGAAGACATATCCAGCAATAGCTGCAGCCACCTCTACTAGGACAATGAGGGTCAGCAAGATGGCAAACTAAAAAAGAGGGGAAGAAATAGGAGGAGAGAAGAGATGGAGTTCCAGATCAGATTAGGGGTTGGCCCTGCCTATATCATCATCATCATCGTCATTACCATCTTTATCTCCCTATAGGGAAATAGGTCCCCTATCCCTCAACTCTCTACCTTTGCTATGGGATGATTCAACATCATTTTCATTCCTCCCTCCTGGTTATAGACCCCTGTTCCTTTTGTCCCCTGGGTCTCCTCCATTACTCCCAATCCACTGTCACCCACTCCCCACAGTCATCCGTCAGACTCTATGCCCCCTCTTACCGTGGTCATAAGACAGTAATTATCCTTACAGGTAGCACAACAGCCCAAGAAGGCCACAAGGAAGAGGAAGGTACCCAGGGCTATGATGACAACAGGTACCACAGAGCCTGCAGTGGACCCAATGGGTATGGTCTGGTTCAAGGTGAAGTGGACTGCCACGCCCACTGCAATCAGCCCCACAGCGCAGGCCTTCAGGAGCAGAGGCAACAAGACAGTTAGTTAGGGTGGGGTGGGGTGGGGCCTAAAGCACAGTCCAGCTTACCCCACCCAACACAAATACACTAGATATACTCCTCCTTACACTAGACAAACAATGAAGCATCCTGAAAAGAGCAAGCACTCAGTGGTCTTAAGACAACCCCGGGTTCAAGATCTGGCTCTGATACTTAGCAACTTGGTAACCCTGGACAAGTTATTGAACCTAATGAAGGAGTCCCCACTGATTAGGGAGTAACTAAACAAATTGTGCTGTAGGGATGTCCGGGAACGTTATCTCAGAACTGATAAACACAAGGAACTCGGAGAATCATGGAAGACTTGTATGAAGTGATGCACGGCTGAAAAAGCCAAAGCAAAAGAACAATAGGTCCCATTACTAGAACAATGTAAATAAAGGCACTATAAAGGGGCAGAAACCTCCATTTCAATGAACAACTTTGCTTACAGGGAACAAGGCATGAGACACCTATGGGTCCTACAGGTTCTGAATGTTGTATATGCCATCAGATGGGGCTGCTCAGTCATTTCTGCTTAGCTACTTTTCTTTGTTTCAAAGGCAGACTCAATGGAAACAGGAGGTAAGATAGATCAGAAAACCTCCATAACCTTTACCAAAAAAGATACACACATATACATATGTGTGTATACATATATAGATAGATACAGATATGTCACTTAACTTCCTTGTGCCTCAGTTTCTTCATCTGTAAAATGAGGATAATATTCTCGCTACCTAACTCACTACAAATTCCAAGGAAAACAATTTTATATGTATAGATATATATGCATACATTATATGTATGTGTATATATATATATATATATATGAATAATCACCCTCCATATCGGAACTCCCCAGAGTTTATAATGCATGATATATTTGTGTGTATATGCATGCATGTATGTGCATGCACAGCTAGATGGCACAGTAGTAACTTAACCCTGCCTGCAAAAAACTAAGAGAAGGAAATGGCAAACCACTTCAGTATCTTTGCCAAGAAAACCATATGGACAATATGGTCCATGGAGTCATGAAGAGTCAAATATGACTTAACAACAAAAACAACAAAATCTGTGTGTGTGTGTGTGTGTGTGTGTGTGTTCCCTTTGATCCCCGAGCACCCTGCCAAGAGGCCGGGCATTGCCCACAATGCCACCTCTCCCCCTTCATTCCTTTTTTTGCTCATCCCTCCACTTGACTCTCTGCTGCTTGCTTCACACATTTCATTCCTCCTTCTACTGCCATGGCTGCTGGCTTGGGGGAGTGAGCCATCCCTGACCTTCCCCACCAGGAAGGTCCTTCATACCCAAAGCCATGTTAGCACAGCTAGGTGATGCTGGGGATAGAACACTAAGCCAGGAATCAGGAAGACTCATCTGCCTCAGTTCAAATTCGGGCTCAGACACTTATATACTATGTGACCCTGGGCATGTCACTAAACCCTGTTTGCCTCAATTTCCTCATCTGTAAAATCAGCTGGAGAAGTAAATGGCAAACCACTCCATTATCTTTGCCAAGAAAACCCCAAATGGGTGTCACAAAGAGTCAGAGCACAACTGAAAAATGACCAAACAATAACAATGATTTTGTGTGTGTGTGTGTGTTGTTGTTGTTATTATTGTTGTTGTTGTTGTTTAATCTGACTCTTTGTGACCCCATGGACCATACTGTCCATAGGGTTTTCTTGGCAAAGATACTGGAGTGGTTTGCCATTTCCTTCTCCAGTGGATTAAAGCAAACAGGTTAAATGACTTGCCCAGGGTCACACAGGTAGTAAATATCTGGGACCACATTTGAACTCATGTCTTTCAGACTCCAGGCCCAGAGCTCTATCCGCTGAGCTATCTAGCTGCCTCAACATGTGTGTATAAACATACATATATGCACAGATCTATACACGTATGTATGTATACACACACATACACACACATATATATGTATGTGTGTATATATATATACACATACATATATACACATATACACATTATATATATAGTTGGGGAATATAGACTTAGCCTTTTACTTCCTCCAAGGATTAGAAAATGGGACTGCCCATTCTTAGCCAAAAGCAGTTGGAGGGATTTCAAAAAAAAGGGGAAGAGGTAAGTCCCTGACCTACATTTACTCTCCCCCACACCATCCCCCACTGATGCCACTTCCCCCAAAAACTCCCTCACTCTAGGAATCCATTCAAGCTCAGGTGTCACTCCTACACAAGGCATTTTCCAGATTCTCTCCTAACCCCAACCTATATTCATTTTCTATTCCTCTTCAAATTACTTCGTATCATTTTGTATCTACTTTGTATTTACTGAACTGTGTATATGCCTCCCCCTCAGTAATCACTGTAAGCTCCTTAGGCAGGGACCTTCACTTTTGGGGGCGGGGATGTCATTGTATCCCTAGTGCCTAGCACATAGTAGGTACTTAAAATTTTTGTTTGCTGAACTGAATTCAATTCATCTGAGTCCTCCTTTTGGACCCAACTGCCCAACTAGAAATAATGGAAATAAATACAAGCCTAACCTCAAGGCATACATTCCTGACTTCACTTGAGTGATAACTGATATCCTGTGCCATGCCAAACGCCCAAGGTATCTCTTTGATCCCCAAGCACCCTGCCAAGAGGCTGGGCATTGCCCACAGTGCCACCTCTCCCCCTTCATTCCTTTTTTTGCTCATCCCTCTACTTGACTCTCTGCTGCTTGCTTCAGAACTGGGGAAATCTCTCCTCTGGCTCGCTACCACGGTGGCTCCTGATTGAGATCAGTGGTAGATCAGGTTAGAAAGGGAGGTCAGGGCATTATCTCTTCCAAGGCAAACGAATTCTTTCCTTCTCTCAGAGGAAAGTAGGATTAGGGGCACGGAGGATGGGGACATCAGGGGGGTGGGGGTAGTAAGTAAAAGGCTTCCAGCTTGGTCTTCCGTAGCTCACAATTCACATAGAGATTCCATCTCTCCAACTCAGAGTCTGAAAGAAGTTACAGAGTAAGGGGGCAGGGAGGAGAGCTTGCAGAAGATAGCATCTGGCCGTTGTCTAGTTGCCCATTACTACAGTTAGTTGGGTCACCAGACAGGAAGGGCCCAGAGACTGAGGGGGCAGGGAAAGAGAATGGACACACTAGGGAGCTTGAGGTAAACCAAAATGTCTAGAACACATAAGTCTTAAGGGTTCCTAAAAGAGTGGGAGTGGGGGCTGTTCTATATTTGCTTTTTAACTGACCTCACACTTAGTTTTGCAACCTACCACACACAACATCCCAGGCCTTCCCCACCAGGAAGGTCCTTCATCCCCAAAGCCATGTTAGTTACCCCTCAAGACTTATCCTAGAAGTTCCTGTGCACACACATACCCCTTTTGCCCCAGCTCCCACCTCCCCACAGGACAATCTTCGACTTACCCACTTCCACAGTCCACACACACACACACACACACACTCCCACCTCCTACCCGTGCATCCCCGCTTACCCAAAAGGCCAACACTAAGACATAGAGCAGAAACTTGACACATTTCATTCCTCCTTCTACTGCCATGGCTGCTGGCCTGGGGGAGTGAGGCAGACAGGGGAAAGTGATCAGCAGCGGCCGGTGGGGGAGGGGACCCCGGCTTCCGGGCTCCCAGCCCACAGGGACTTCCCAGTAAGTCCCCCCATTCCCGGCCCCTCCCACCCGGAAACAGGCGGTCAGCTCCACGTCTCCCAGACCCCTCCCCTCGAGCCTGGGGTCTGATGGGCAGAGAGAGAAGCTCAGAACCCCATCTGCAGCGGGCCTCGCCCCCGCAGCCCCCGCCTCCTCCGACTCAAAGAGAACTTCGGAAGGACAGGAAGGCTCCGGCCGGACCCACTGACAACGGGCTGGACAGAGAAGTTCCAACCTCAATCCACGCCCCAGTACACCATTTGCTCCCTCGGTATTCCTCTCCCCCAAACTTAGGCACTTCTCTCCTTTCCCCCCGTCCTCGATTACGTCCCTTCCTCCAAGCCCTGCTCCCCTAGCCTTGCCCCCCCCCCCCCCCCCCCCCTCCCAGAAAAAAAAAAGGTTTGGCCACCCCACTGCCTGGAAGTTTGGAATAAAGTTTTTAAAAGACGTGAGCACAGAGCTGAAAGACCAGGGAGTGTCGGGGGAAGTGAGATGGTGGACTACGGCACAGACCCAGGAAAGTGAATCTCTCCCTTCTTCTCCACCACTTTTGAGGTCCTAAACGTCCCCGTACTCCCAGCCTCCAGCCCACAAGCCTCACCTGATCTCCCCGAGCTTCTGAGATCCTCTCCCCGCAGCTGTTCCTGGTCTGTCTCTGCTTCGACCCCCAACTCTGGCCCCGCCTGCCACGGCCCCGCCCCGGCTCCAGCCACTGCTGCCCCCTCCCCCCGCAGGGTGTCTGCCCGACTCATGTGACGCGGGAGCAGCTGGAGCCTGAGTCACTCGGGCTTGAAAGAGGAGAGCTCTCCCCCTCCCCGCAATACACACAACTCAACTTTGGTCACTCATCTCCTGCTTACCCCACCTCCTTTAGGTCCTTCCAGTTTTCCAAGGTGCCCCTTGCCCCATAACTGCAAGGTGGTCCCTCTTCCTGCTCTAGCCCCCAGCAACGGTGGCAGCTATGCATTGGCCCCAGCTCCTGTACTCACTTCTAATGGGACATTGGGCAAGTCACCCTGCCTAGCCCTCAGTTTATTCAATTATAAAATGAAAACTGGCCGATCTCTTTGATGCCTTTCACCTCTTTCTATTCAGAGCAGGATTCCAGGGAGCTGGCAGCTCCTCTTTGCCTCTCCAATTCTGAGGGAAAAGGAGAAAAATTGAGTAAACCTCTCCATCATTTTATAGCTCTGGGGGACAACCACTGGAAGTTGGGAGGAAGCAAGCTGCTGAGTCAGAGGAGAGACTAGGACGTCATAGCTGAGTCCCTGCTTGTCTCAGTGGCAACACAACACCTCAATCCAATGACAAAGTTACATACATCTAAACTTCTATTTCCAGGAAAGGATTTAACACTGAGCCACTGAGTAGCAACTTTAGGATATGGGGTCAAGAAGAAGGGTTACAAAAGCAGAGTCCTAACTTCTCCAGTTGATTCTGTCATTTCTCTAAGGCTAGGGATCCCTTCCTCTGAGACCAGTGGAAATTCCAGTAGGATGTAATCTCCTTGAAGGCAAGAAATTAATTTGGTGGTGGTTGGGTTTTTTTTTCTTTTTTCTTTTTCTTTTTGTTTTTGTTTTTTAATCCCTAGCACCCAGCCCAGTGTTTTCTACAAATTAGGCACTTATACACATTGGACTGAATTCTAGGGGTGAGGAGTTAGGGAAACAGAGGGGCAAGGAAGACAGCATCCCTATGCCCCCTCCTGGGGGTGAGGAAAAGTGTGTTCCTTGTTATCCCAATCTTTGAACCCGACTTATAGGTTGAGAAGAGGGATCATAGGATTATAGCTTTAAAGATAGAAGAGACCATAGGGGTCATCTAGTCCAAGCCCCTTAATTTGGGGAAAATGAAGCCCAGAAAAGTTAAGTGACTTGCCCAAGGTCTCACAGGTAGCTAGTGATGAGATAGGACACAAATCCATTTCCTCTGACTCCAAATCCAGTGTTCTTTCCACGCAAGGAGAAGTTCAGACTGCACAATCACCCTCCAGATTCCCTATCCTTTAACATAGGAGCATTCAGACTCAGTCAGTAGCAGCAAGAGAAGCCTCCTACATCCCAACCCTCCACTCTTGTCAGGTCTGGGTAGAAAAATGATGAGAGGTAGACAGAAAATAAATATGGAAAACAGACAGGGGAGAGTACTAGGCTGGAAACCAAGAAGCCTGGGTCTCACATCCTACATAAAGGAACCAACCAATCCTGCCCTGTCTCCCTGTCTTCGAGAATGGGTAGAGCTGATGCTGTCTTTCCTAGGGGAAGAAAGAAGACTTAGGGAATATCTGGGGATAGGCCTATGGGAATGCATAGGGGAGAGGTTCTTAACTTTTTTTGCATCACAAGACCCCTTCATAGTCTAGTAAAGTTTATATATTTTGCATTGTATTTAAATGCAAAAAACACATAGGATTACAAAAGAAACCAATTATGTTGAAATAGTTATTAAAATATTTTTAAAATAAAATTTAGAGACTCCAGGGTAAAGAATCTCTGGTCTAGGGGAAGTTATTTTGAGACGGCAGCAAAAGGAGAGCTGAAGTTAGAGTTTAAGATAGTATTGGGGGCCAGAGCTCCAGGGGGATAGGGAGATAGCTAAATATGGCAAATGAAAAATGGAGAGGAGGGATATGGGAGGACAGTCAAGACAAATGCCAAAGAAAGACAAAGACAACTTTGTTCATTCTCAAGTAAGTTAATAAGTTAATTAATAAGTAATCTAATGTTTTAATAAATTAAGGAGGTTATTTTCAGTGCCTAGAGTCCTAGATCCCCAGGCAATGAACACAGAATAGCCCACCCATGAGTACCAGAAGGAAGGCTTTAGAAATAGAAAGTACATTAAATCAAAAAGAAAAAAAGATAAAAAGAGTAGAAAGGGGACTTTTGAGGGGAGATCCAATTATTCTCTAATTCATGAATTTGATAATAGACCAGTCAGAGCTTTCAGTACCAACTCCACATGATTACAGTCCAGGCATGACACTAAACCACTTATTTGGGCCCAGCTAACCTAAGGCAGAAATTTATGCCCATCCTGGTACTTTGGCACAGTGCCTGCCAGCTCCACCACACCTCAGCCTAGTACCGGAGCACAGCATTTGGCAAGTAGATATTCTAGGCAACGTTCATGCCCTCAGAGTAGATATTTTGCTACACAAAATGCCTCATAAAGAAGCTTATAGCCAGCACCAAAGGCCTTTTAGAGCCAGGGGCTACATATAAAAAACCATCCAGTATCTGCTGGGTTAATACCCTTCCTTCCTTCCACTCACTACCACCACTCCCTGATGAATAAATATGTCAACAATGACAGGTATCTAGGTGTCTTGGTATGAGAGATTCCAGTGAACTCAAGATTTCCCCATTCAGGGGGAAGGGGAAAGATGAGAAGACCTTGGAAGGGGGAGGAATGGAGATGGATATGGGGATAAGGAATAGAAAAAGAGAAATGAGATGAGAAATAAATGGAAAGATAGAGGTAGGGAAAGATTGGCAATAGGGAACAATGGAGTGGAATGAATTTGGGAACTAGAGGGCCTGGATTCAGATCCCAATACTACCAGTGTGACCTTGGGTAAGTTACTTCTCACTGGGACTCAATATCCCCATCTGTAAATTGAGAGAGGTCAGACTAGATGACCAATCTATGACGCCCCCCCTCCCTCGTTCCGAATACTCTTCCTATCTTAACATATCCCTGGGATCGTTCATCTATCCACCCTTGATTCCTTCCACTTGGCCATAGGCCTCTCTGACTTTCCAGTCGTGTCACTCACCTCTGTTCGTTCATTCAACATGCATTTTGTAAGCATGCATTATAAAATCAAATGTTGTGTTATGCACCAGAGATATGAAGATGAAAAAATTATACAGTCCCCTATGGTTAAGTAGAGCTTACAGTCTAGTAGAGGAATGAGATAGGTACACAGATAAATATAATTTAGAATAAGAAAAGTACTTAGGTGCCAAACAGAAAAAATTGGGGAGAGACTCTAATAATAATTCAGATTTTTATACTACTTTACTGGTTTAAAAGTTCTTTCCTCACCACTATGCTGTTAGCTTTTGTTCACAATAATAGCCCGGACCCAGAGGAGAAAGGTGAGATAATACAAGTGCTAGTACCCCCATTTTACAGAATAGGGAAATCAAGACTTAGGGAGGTTAAGTGACTTCCCCACGGTAATAAAAATAGAAAAGAAAGGAGCAAGAATTTTAATCTCTTCAATCTGCATATCGGCTAGTGTTTTAAAGTCATAGGAGAAATTTACACCTGCTCCCATCCTACCTTCTCTTCAATGAACAGGTGGAATAGTGTGCCTCCTGCTGGCAGGGCTGAGCAACAAAGGCTGCTCTGGATCCAGCTTCCAAGAAGGCTATGAAGACCCAGCCACAGTCCTGGTGGAAAGGAGGGAGAAGGAAGTAGATGAACAGGGGTCAAAGGCCCCTGACCTCTGTGCCTTCATGAGAAATATACTGAGACAGAGGTTCTTAACCTTTTTTGTGTACTGAACCCCTTTGGCAGTCTGGGGAAGCCTGTGGACCCCTTCTCATATTATAGTTTTAAATACATACAAATATATAGGATTATAAAGGAAACCAATTATATTGAAATTGTTATAAAAATAGTTTTAAAAATTCAGACTCCAGATTTAAGAACCTTTAAAAAAAAAAGGAGACACAACAGATAAGAGGTTTCAGCTGCAAGTCAGATGGAAAAATCCTTGGGGTCTGTTGGGTGACGCAGCCAAACAGATGGTAATGAATCTTCTTTAGTTTCATTTCCATCGATAAAACTCTTATCTATTTCTGATGTTGAGTCATGTGAAAAGGCCAAGGCCTTTGGCGGTGAGCATTTTTTTTTCTTGGTCTTCAGTAACTATGGCTGCCAAAGTGGGAGGGGGAGAGCAGGGACAGCCATAGGACCTGCAGTGGCATCCACAGTAAGATCTCGTACATCTCCTAGATGATATTTGTGAGGCAGAAACAGTGCTGGTGGGGGGGAAGGAGAAAAGGGGAGTATGTTCTTGGGCTTCCTGCCTGTCTTGGCAGTTACTGGTTATCAGTTGGGGGGGAGGGGGAAGATATCAGATCCCTTCTTTACAAGATTTGTCTCCCTTGATGATTGCTGGGGCAATCAGGCCAGAAGAAGCCATGGTCTGGGAGGCGGTGATATTCCCAGGGCTCTAGGGTGCAGGGTTCTGGGCTGTCTCCACTGGGATCTGATGTGAGGTGGTCGTTGGCATGGTAGCTTGCCTTCTCTCTCTTCCTCTACAGACAAACTCTCTGGACTCAGTTTCTTTATATGTAAAATGAGGGCTTTGTATTAGATGACCTCCAATGTCTAAATTTATGATCCTATAAGCCCTGAAAAAGTTACAGAAAGAAAACATATGTTAGGACAAGCTATTGAAGAAATCACAGGAAAAACAATCAGAGGCAACTAACTCCATGGAACTAGTTAAGAAAAGACATTTGAGGGGATTTCAGAGCAGACTCATTGGCCGGGGAGTGGGACATAATTCAAAGGAAAACTCTATCGGGCCTTGAGAGTCCACGGGTCAAGGACGGTTAAATATAAAATCAGGATAAAACAGTATAAGCAATCTGGAGAAACTACTCCAAGAAGAGGTCAAAAGAAACTTTGAGCAGGGATCAGGAAAAACACAGAAATCACTGCAAGAACAGGAAGGCTGGTGAAATTACAAGGATATTCTGAGGACCAAAGCCTGAGGGAGAGGAGGGGCACCCCTAAGAACTTGGGTACAGGGAAAGGAATGAACTTGTTCAAGAGCTAGGTATTCTAGCCATCTCCTTTGCACACAGACCCTTCCCATACAACTTCCAACTTCATTAGAGAGAACTGAGACAGAAAGGGTTAACCAAATGAGTAGGTAGTTCATGCCAGGTAATTATACAGAACTTAGAAACTTAGAAGGGGGTGTTAATTACTGGGTGAGATACTCTCTTGGGGTTCCATGGTTTTTGGTTAGAGCTTTGAGAGATGTGTATGTTTTCCACTCCTCCCACATACCACCATCCAACCCAGAATAGCCTCCCAATGCCACATTCCTACAGGATGTTGGAGGAGGGAAATAGAGAAGGCTCTTCTCTTCAGTCATTTTCCTCCCTCCCCACACCCACGACCTAGGCTTCCTCATCTCCCCCCTTGTTTAGGAGGTCTAAGCAAAGGAGGCTATGGGAATCCACTTTCTTAGAAATTTGAACCCCAAAATTGAGGTAGGGTAGGATGTGTCAAGAGAGCCTTGGACGCAGGACAGAGAAGATAGTTGAGGTTCCCCATCAAGATATACCTCTCCCGCAGGTATCTTCGGAGTCCAGGTCCCCGCCCCTCATCTCCCTTCTGTGCCCTTGCCCTTTAAAAGGGTTGGCTTTGAGGTCCTGATTGGGAACGGTGAATGGGAAACCTGGCAGAAACTCCCTATGGCCACCTACCCTGGCTGTGTAGATGCTTACTCTTTCTGGGTTAGGAACAGATGATCTCCAGACACAGATTCTGGTTCTCCCAAGCCCTGGATATAGATTATCGGACTCCCAAAATACTGCAGCTCTTCTTCCGGTAGGTCGTTTTCCAGGGCCCTTTGCTAATAATGGTCAAGAACAGTACTTTCCCCCTATTTCCACACGTGCATACATGAGCACAGAGATGAGCATATACACACAACACTACACACACACATGCACACACGTGCTTGGATGTCTCGCCCTTTCTTGTTCTACCAGCCTATACCTGTTTCTGTCCGGAAAGAACCTGGGATACTGCCCCTCAGATCCCCGCACTTCCTACACACCTCAATTCTAACTGATTCTCCTAGGACCCTGCCTACTTTTGCTAGGAACCAGTCAGGACCTTGAAGGGGGGGCGGGCCTGATTGTTGCCTAGGTAACGTTGTGACATCACGGGGGTGCCCCTGGCGAGGGGAAAGTTGCCTAGGAAAACAGAATAGGGGGCGGAGTCTCAATCTGTGTAGGAGTTTTTCCGGGTGGGGAAAAGAAGAATCCAGGTGTTCTGCACTTTTCTCTCTTCCTTTACCTCTTAAACTCCAGGTGGTGACCCCTCCTCCAGGTTTGGGGCTAGTCTGGAGCTAAACGCCAGATGACCCTAAAAGTGGCTGACTGGAGATCTCAGCAGCTTAGCCCTTCCACCTGGACATCACAGAGTTTGAATGGGCAGCAGGGAAGGAATATGAGAAGGAAAGGGTCTGTGGCCCAGAACTATTGAACAGAGGGGTAAGAGCTAAGTGACAGGAAAGGAAGCAAGAAGTTATTTAAATGGAAAGAGCACACCCTGGGAAATTAGCCTTGCCTGTGACACAATGGCCACGTGATGATCTGGGGCACGTCCCTTGACCTCTCTGAGCCTCAGTTTCCCTATTTGTAAAATATGGGAGTTCGATTAGCTGTGTTGGCTGCTTTATCTCTGCTAAGACCTTACCATCTGCTGGTCATTCCCATTCATAGACTCCGATTTCTAAGAAGATACAAATGAGCATATTTAGCTTCATTACCACCCCAAGGAGCTGCAGTTTGGGATCTGTCCACCAGAGGGCAGAATTGTCTGATGATTGGATTGTAGCTAGAGGTTAAAGCAATCAGGCACCCAGAGAGTCAAAAGGGTGGGTGGGGACCCCAGGTGGTAAAAACTGGAACCTCTAAGAAGTG